ACTGCACTAATGCAAAACTGCCCACACAACAGCCTCATTGGCTGGAGGGTTTTCCAGCGCTTTGTTTTCTTGAGGCTCACACACTCAGCTTCCTCTCCCTGTTTGCTGAAGCCTCATACTGTGTCCCAGTATTGCACATCTCTTTTATTCAAGCCAGTCAGAGTATTTCTGGTGTATTATATCCAAAAAGAATGAACAAAATCCTCTTTGGAAATCCTGTTATTATTTGCACACATCCTTCATATCAGTAAAAGTTACAGTACACTATATGTACACATGTATCTTTTCTGAGAGCTAACTATAAAATATACCCAGCACCCCATTGTTTAGGCATAAAATATTAATCAGGAAGAATGTTATCCAGTCTACTGTTGTTACTCTATAAGACACAATGACCTAGATAGAAGTTACCCCAAACACTAGAGTAACATTAAAATCAAACTAAACTGCCTAGAATAAAAGGTTCACTTCACCTGCCTGATATTTGCCCCTAGGGCCCAACAACAAAAACTTCTGGTATTTATCAATTAGAAAATTTTACATCCTAGATATATAGCAATTTCCCCCAGACTATGGGGAAGTTCCAAACTTAAGACACTGGTCTCCAGATACCACTGATCTATTGCTTAGAAATACCAGGTTATCTTATGAAATAAGCAACTGAGACCATATACTAACAATACAGCTATAAAAATTAATTAACAGTGGCTATTTAAAAGAAATGCTAAAGTACTGAGAATTTCAGAAAAAAGAATTACACCATGAATAGGCTGTTTGCAAAACACATCTGCTTTCACCCTGAGTGAGAGCTTGGCAGCCTGGCTCAACTCACCATGTGGCTCTTTTCCATTTTCTCTTTTAGCTTCGTTTCTGTGAAGTGGACTGGCTATCTGGTTACTGAAAACTTTTATTATTGCATTATTTTAAAATAAACAGACTTCTGGGATTAAAAAAAAAAATACATCCTTAGCCTGCCCTACAAGTTTCCAATTTGCCAGACAAATCTCAACTTTTAACATATAGTACAATTTATATTTCAAAAAGCTTATCTAAACATAATTTTAAATTATCCTCCTCTTTATTCTTAACTCATATTTTAAGAAGTCTGCAACTTTATCCCACTCATAAAATTAGGAGGGCAACTAAAAGCAACCAAGGAGAAAGAAAATTGAGAAGTAGTAATACAAAACCTCCACAAATACTTCATGTTGAGAACATTTAAAAATGCAATTTAAAAAAATGAGAGAAAAGAGTGAAAAGAAATTCCATCATCAAAAGATACACAGGATCCACAAACCACTGCCATTTATAGCACTGTCCTTGGGGAGCAAGGGAAGAGCCCCAGTTTCCTGACACCACAATGCCCCATTAGCTCAAGAACTAGCAGCTCAGCTGGGCATGTGCAGTGCTGGGGAGAACTCTGAACTCAGGGTGCTATGATACTGTGAGGTTGTGGGACTCTCTAAAGTGGAGAGTGTTGATGTTCACGAGCCAGCTGGTGGCTGGCAGGACTGGTGGCCCTAGGTAGCTTTCAGGAAAAATCAGGGCAGGGTTAGAGGCTGGTCTTTTCCTCCAGGGAGGGTAAGGGGCTGAAGGTTAAGTTGATCAAAATCCATCAGTGATTAATCAATCATGCCTACACAATGAAGCTTCCATAAAAAGACAGAAGGACTAGGTTCCAGGAACTTCTAGGAGCTGAACATACAGAGGTTCCTGAAGGGTGATGCTTGGGGGAGGTCATGAAGCCCCATGCCCTTTCCCATCTGCCTCACCCTATGCATCTCTCCATCTGTATCCTTCTCAATATGCTTCATCACAGGTGTTTCCTGAGGTTCAGTGAGCTGCCCTAGCAAATCAATTGAACCAAAGAAGGGAGTCATGGGAACTCCTATTCACAGCAGAAGGAGTACAGGTCAAAAAACGGCTGGGCTTGTTCCTGACACCCAAAATGGGGCATTTGTGGGACTGAGTTCTCAACCTGTAGGATCTGACAAGATCTCAAGTAGACAGAGTCAAAACTGGACTAAATGCAATGACACCAAGCTGATCCAGCTTGATTGTTGGTGGGCAAAACTCATGACGAGTGTCACAGAAGTCCTCTTGCTGATTGCCTTGAGTAGGGATTACAGTAGGAGAAATGGAGCTTGATTTTCTTCTCTGTGTTCAAAGATGCTTTGGATATGGCAAAAGAGATTATTTAAGGTAAGGACAATGTTAAAAACTACAAAGGTAGGGCAAGAAAAACAAGGAAGAGTCTGATGCTACTGCAGAACACCATGGGCTCCACAGTTCAGCCACAGGGACAGGTCCCAGCCCTAAAGTGGGTGGAGCTACATAAGGCTTCCCTTGCCCCTGTGAAGGGAACCTTAGACAGCTGTCTGGAAAGACTTTGATGCTGAAGTATACCACTGCCTTGCACCACTATAAGCAGTAGACAGATTGTTTTAACTCTAAAATAAGACTTTATACTACAGTTGTGCAAGTGCACATACATATTGTCTTGGTTACTTTTTTCTCGTTGCTGAGACAAAATACCCAATGCCCAAAATGAATGAAGGAAAGGTTTATTTAGCTCACAGTTTGTAGGTTTCAGTCCATACTCAGCTGGCTCCAAGGCAGAGTGGCACATGGCAGAAGGCAACAGTTCATGGTGGCGGAACAAAAAAGCAGCAAGAGCAAAAGAGAGGTGTGACAGAAAAGAGCAAGTCTCTTTCCCTCCCTTATATTGTAAGCAGGCTACCCCTACCTGGGGGGCATGCAGAACTCACATAATCTCTATGCCCTCCTCTTGCACTGGCTGAGGATGAATACAAGGTAAGCACCTTGGCCCCCTGCTGAATCACACAGTTAACCTTCTAAACTTCTCAAATTGACACAATGAATAACATCCCAGAAGGGTAAAGGCATATCTTTTTCACCCCAGGATGCAGAACTGCTAAGTCACTTAGCCAAGCCTCTGGACTCCCCAAGTTGACACAATGCATCAACCATAACACATATACAACAAACTGAAGTTTTTTGGACACCTATTAAATATGGTATACTCTACTATTTATCTTTATATCCTTTTTTCATGTATAGAACGCTGTTGGAACCAATACACTAAATTCATTTGTAAACCCTGCAATATAACAAATGCTGCACTTGGGTACTCACCATTTGACTTTGGGGCAGGTGAGCGTTCTGTGAGATCACAGCCCAGCCTGAATCCTGTCCCTCTACTGGCCAGGTCTGATTTCTTTCTTGGGCTCTAGAACACATCTAACCAGCCTGGCATGCTGGCTTCTCTTCTTCCAGTCCAGACACTGTATGAGCTCTCATCAACCACAACAGCCCCCAAGAACATGCATCCTAGCACACCTGGCAGCTTCTTACCTGCTTTCCACATCCCAGACTGCCACCTTGCCTCTCTCTGGGATGCCTTTCACCTGAAAGTTATTTCCACCTATGCAAATCCCACCGATTCTTCAAGGTCAAGCTCACGCTCCTCCATGCAGAACAAATTCCCCATTCCTCTGGAATTCCAACACTAATCCTTTTCTACTGTCTCCATATTTTCTACACATATATATGTGCCCCGCACCCCATGCCCATGCTATTGAGTCCAAACAGAGTCTAAAGAAAGATACTACATGGTGTGTGCTTTGCACACTGACTGAACAAGTTTATATTCATCCCCTGCACAGGTAGAAAACTACTTACCAGAGACTGGTCAGCCCAAAGACTGAGAAAGCCCAGCTAAGCCCCAAAACACCAAGAACCCCTAAGCAAACCAGAACCAATACTCCCTTCAGCAGACACTGCATCTTAGCTTATAACAAGCAGTGTAGGAGGTGATGTGAGCGTGTATTCTAACTAGCATTTAGAGATTCTTCTTTCAATTAAAAAGTAGCAGAACTGTACTCTAGTAATTTAGCAGTTATACTGTGTTTCATGTTTTAATTTCTTTTCCTTGAAATCTGATCTCCCAAATGTGATAAAAGTGTCTGTAAGACAGATGTGCACTTCTCGGCAAAATGAACACACCCACTGTGTCCCCTGCTTTGGCTCACAGTGTCCAGGGCACAAAGGCCCACAGTCCTCCTTGGGATGGTCTCCTTCTCCCACTGACAAATTCTTTGGGGTAAACTCTTTCTACATGTCTTATTCCAACAACAAAATCTTTCACATCCTCTTCTAATCAAGCATTTTCATTTCACACTCCCCAATGAAATAATGAAAATAAATTTCTTAGGCCTAAGTCAGAAATAATTAAAGTCAAAATATCTTAAATCTATATGCAAATATATTTTAAACTGATCTAACAGCATCCTCAATTGATAAGTACTTATCAAAAAGCACTCAAGCACTCAAGCTCAAAACAATAGATCTTTGAAGTACAAAACAAGAATTGTGCTTGCAAAGAAAAGAAGGTAATGGGAGAATAGCAGATTAGAACTCATTACAAGTTGGAAATCAGTAAGCTCAGTACTTCTGTACTACAAAGAAGTAGAAAGCAGCAAGGAAAGTCTGCCGAGACTCTCAAGGTCAAATAGGTCACACAGTGTAACCTGTGATAAATTGTCAAAAGAAAAACAAAGGAACAAAAAACCCTTAAAATTTTGCAACTCTTTTGGTTTTAGGAATACTTCTCATCTGAGAAGTAAATCCAGTCAGATATTAACTACCTATCAGAATACAAAATACTTCTATTTTAACATTACAAGATCAAGGGCCATTCATATCACTTGATAATGAGTGGAGTGGTCTTTCCCATTGTATTTTATGTACACAATACAATATATTCAAATGCCTGTGAATATTTAAAATTTATCAAGTATCCCCACCATGCTTTAAGTCTCTAAAACTATTTTCAGTGTGGTTGGCCACACCAATAATGAAATTAGGCAAAAATAAAATAATTTTAAAACTGCAAGGAGGCATCTTAGAAATATTGCTACAATAAATATTGACTAATTACGTATAACATATCTCATAAACACATACTAAAGTACTCTTACCTTAAATAGGTCCCATATATGAAGAATAATGCCATCATCAGTCCATTTAAAATAAAAATTACAGCAACATAAAAGCAAGCAGGATCTCCCAATCCTTTAAAAATAAACAAAACATATGTTCTAACTATAAATGACTTTATATGTCTAGCATTTTATATTAAACAGTGCTTATTATGAAAATGGTTGCCAGGTCAATTAAATGGTTGCCTTGCTTCCTGTGCAAAAGCACAGCCTGAGTGCAGACCCAAGATGAGAAGCGGGGACTAGCATGGCGGGCCCACTGGTGCACCTCCTGGGGCACCCTGGAGCCTGTGCCCAGCTCTGCGCCTGGGGGGGCTGCAGCAGCAATGACAGTGCCTGAGTAGACTCAGGCCTGAGGCCACAGTGTCCAGCGTGAAGCCTGGAGCTGCCACAGGAAAACCTGAGGTGCCTGCCCTGCTACAAACAACCCCAATGCAGTGGAAATGACATATGGACCTGTCCTAGGGCACGGCCCGTGGAGCTCAGCTGCACAGCCATCCTCATCCTGGAGACAAAACGTGAGTGAGGGTGTCCCCGGATGGGTCCTCCCTCCCCTCCCCAGCAATCTGAGTACCCATGCACACAAGTGAAGCCTGCTTCAGCCGGCCCCAATTCCAGACTTGCAGGACATGTGCGTGATCAAATGTGTACTGTTTCTCACACTCAGTCTGGGGCAAGCTGCACGGCTAAGGAAGCAATGTTATAGAAAGTAACGCACCTTCACAGCTTTCTATGGGACTGAGTCCTTCCCCTCTCGTAACTGTCCAACAGACCTTGGTTTGAACACCAATTACATCCATTGTTTTGGTATAAATCCTGTACCAGCTGGCCAAGATTACCTATTATTAAGAAAACAGACGCATCATAAGGTATTATGTTAAAGAGTTTTAATTAGTAGACTATTTGGGGACATTTTCATAATCTTCAAATTTTCCTTTCCTGTGTCATCCACCTGGCGTGGCTCCTTTTATATCTAGAGAAATGAGACTCGAGTGCAACACAGATTCTTCACTGGTCTGTTTTTGGTCACTCATTAATAAGAAATTTGTTAAGACGTATGTTTTTCAAAAGGTACAAAACTCTACTTGGGAATATAAATGAAGATATGAACAGAGATACCTGTATCTACTTTGACAGACCTAATTTTTCAAGATATAAATTCAACTTCAGACTAATTCATAAGCATTAAGCTATCCTAATCAAAACACCAAGTGTCTAAAGTTTATCAGGAAAAAAACTAATGGTAACAACTAACAGAAATATAACCTAAACAATATTAAAATTAGTAACTTAAAATAATTAAGGCAGGGTGACTCTTGAGACAGAGGACTCTTGAGAACAAAGACATCACCTTCCTCCTGGTGGGAGTGAGCACCTATGGTGCTCTACTGCTCTATGGTGGCTCCTACTGCCCCAGATAAACCAGCAGGACCATGAGCCTCTGCTCCAGGCGAGGGACGGCAAGTCACTCTAGCTCATTCCCCTCTATCCAGGGCAAGTTGCATCCAACATGTGACCTGCAAGTCCACAGAAAGAGCTGTACAGGTCGCAGGGTGGTGGGCCTTGCTGTCAGACAGGACAACTCCACAGTGGCACCCAGTAATAGGGACAGGGTGTGTGGGTGAGGTGGCCCTCTGCTGTGACCCCGACCTCCTGCTCATTCCACTCCCTTAATCTACCCTGGGATGTGTAGCTCAAGGCCACCTCTCCAAATACTTCTGCAGGCAAATCTCCATCTCATAGTCCATCCACCTCGAGGACCCCAGCCCAAGATGATACTGAGCACCTGGCAGTGCACCAGTGCAGTGACTTTGTATAGAAAAGGCCACTCCAGATTGGTGGGGAGAGGATGAACCACTCATCAGTGTTGGGTTACACAGAAGATCAGTATTTTATAATCGTAAGTTTAGATTCCTGTCCCCTGCTATGATTAAAACAAATTTCAAATAAATTTTAAAAGCAAATATAAAAAATTAATTACGATTATAAAAAATAAAGTTTTTACATATATACATAAAAGAGAAAATACAAATTAAAAGATCCCCAGATATAATACCTCTATTTACAAAACAATATGTATACATAGGTAAAAGGCAAATAAGAAACTAAGGAAAATGTTTTAATGGTACAACATAATATTAACATACTGTACATAATAAAAGAGCCCTTATAAAATTCCAATAGAAATATATGCAAAGGACATGAACAAGTAATTATTTTTAAAAATGAAAATGCACTATATTTACATAGCACTGAAATGCATGTAAATATTATATATATATGTATGAATGAAATACATTGAATAATTATGGTTCATTATCAAACCCTCAAGGATGTAGATAAACATTTTCAAAAACACTGTTGGTGAAGATTTCTATTAGTATAACCTACATGGAAGGCATTTTGGCAACACTTTCAAATCATGGAAGTATATATTCCTCTGAACAAAACAGTTCCATATAACAAACTGTTAGTTTAGAACAGTAAGGATGTGGGTAAGGATTTAGCTGAGGATGTTTACCGTAGCTTTGCTTAGAATATTTAAAAGACTGGAAACAATCAGAATTTCCATAAAAGCTGGGCTAACCAGGCAAGGGCAGACAACACACACAGCAGAGGACAGAGATGACCCAGGAAGACAGTCATACATATTCTTAAATGAAAGAGGCATAAACACTCTGCACCTTCTGGTGGCACTCCAGTGACGTCAGTGTGCCTATGGCCACACACGGTGCCAAAAGCACACCTATGTGAGAATCCCTGACCTTGCTGGTGATCTACCTGTTTACAACCTCCAGCTCCTCATTATGTGGTAGCAGGACTCCTCCTGCTCAGTGACTGTCCACAGAGAGCAGCTGCACAGCACAGAGCACAGTCACGGCCCTGTCAGCAGGGTGTCCTCGGCCACCACAGCACGTTAAGAAGAGGAACACAAGGGAGAGCCTGCACCACATCCAGGACACATCAATAAACACACGGAGGGTAATGAGAGGCCAAAATAAGTGGCTTGCATCATGGCCTTCCTCCCTCAGCTCTTGCCCACCCACCCAAAAAGGCCACTCAGTGAAAGAGGGGCCTCAGACAGGAAGGGGTGTGAGGGCAGGTGGCGCTGCTCCCTCACTGAGATCCACACATCAGGGCTAGACAGCTGTCAGGTTTTCTAAGCAGTGCAACCACAGCAGCAGTTCCCGCAGGTTCAGCTAAAGCCTCTGCAAAACTTCTAACAACCTGTAGTCCACATCCCTTCCCAAGATACACATTTTCTTTTAAAAATGAAATGAAACTCAAGGTGTTGAATTAGATCTCAGATTTAAAATTGGCATTTAATATAACAAAAAAGTTTTGAAAAAGTAAAAAAAATCACAGTTGGAGAAAGTCATTTACCTCAGGGTACAGATTGAACCTTTTCAGTGTGTTAATGACTAGGGGGTATTCTGTCAGGTTGTCATTCATAATCATCCACACTCCGTGCAGAAAGGAGGGTGCCTCCACAATGGTCTTGAAGTAAGAATAATATAGTCCCTGAAACAAGGATATGCTCCAGTTATAATAAAAGGTACATAATTATGCCTCCACTTAGTTTTAAAAACATTTAAAATACACTTTTAAAAAAAGAGCACTCAAGCAAATAATAGTTACAACTAATTTCACAGGTTTCTGATCACTGATGAATTCTTAGGTTGCAAAAATACACATATTTTAGAATAACCTTATCTTAATTGAAAAAAACGCAAAATAGCTTCAAATACAATGTCAGCATTTAGAATGCGTACATATATATATAAAACTCAGTATATTTTATCTAAAAAATTCTTTAACTCAAACAAATACAAATGTTAGAAAAACATATCTAACCTGGTTTATTATGGAACTAAAATTTACCATGAACCAAGAAATCTTCCCAAGCCAAAAAAACTTCCTTCTAACTGCTTATCTGAATGCAGAAAATGCCATCAATCATCTTTCCTCCAGATTTATATGCAAAGATGCAAATATCTTGAGAAGGCTGCATATTAATGTTATATATAAATTTCCTTCAAAAAATAATTGCATAAATCATTTTCCCCCATTAGCTCAGCATGAGAACCCTGTGGCACTTGGGGTGGGGATCAGTGCTGTTCCGAAGGAGAGAGATTGCTGTTCATCTTGACATCTTTAGAAAAGGAGCAAGGGTCAAATAACACATGGGAGAAAGACCACAGGGGTTCAAGCAGCACAGGGAGGAAATATAACAGGCAGTGTAAGGACAGACAGATAAACAGAGGACACAAGTGCTACCTTCCACCCAGTGAGTGGGACTTGCCACTGCCCTGCCAGCCTGGGCCAAACTCTAAATTGAGTTGTAGAATTAGAAATACAAACATGATTGCCTACACAGCTATTTACTGGAAATAAATGATCACAATACTATGATGCTTTAGCTCTCATCTCTAATATCACTATTTGTTAAACTGCATCACCTCCCATTTTGAGCTGAATCCTGTCTGCCAAAATTTCAGGTCCATTAGAACCTGTGAATTTGACCTAATCTGGAAATAGGGTCCTCACACATGTAATCAAGTTAAAATGGGGCAAAACAGATTAAGGTGGATACTATAGCTAACATAACCAGTCTTGTGGAAGAAGAGGGAAATCTGCAGTCAAAGAGCAGGGCCACATGGGACAGGCAGAGGTGCGAGCTACCTCAGCCAAGGTTCTCCAGACAGCCTGGCAGGCAACACTGGGAGGAGGCAAGGAAGTGTCCTCGCCTCCTGTCCTGGGGACAGGATGCCCATACCAGAACCTTCAGTTTTAACTCTGACCCCTGAAACTGAAAGAAAATTAATTTCTGCTGGTTTTGGCCTCCTAATTTGGTATGCTTTATCACAGTCCTAGGAAACTGCCAGGTTTATTCTGTTTTGTAGGTTTGATTTTGTAAGCATGTAAATGTCACATTTAATGATACATCAAAATATTTCAATTATTAATTATAAAAATAAAAATAAAACAAAGTAAGGTGGGTATCCGGGTACACACCTGCAATCTGGGGCTGAGGCAGGTGGTTTATTGTGAGCTGGAGGCCAGCCTGAAGTAGATAGTGAGAACGTGTCTCCCAAAAACCAAACCAAACCAAACCAAAAACACAAATTTATCAAGTTGGAAAGTGATTTCAAGTGACCTTAAGATACAGCAATTTTACTATACTACCCCAATGGAATATGTCCTAAGGTCAAAATAAACCACAAGAAAACCTTACACAAGTTTCGGCAATTTGATTTTTGTTGTTGTTTGTTTTTCCTTTTCCTTTTTTTTTTTTTTTTTTTTTGTAATAGAGTCTTGCTATGTAGTTTTTTTTGGTTTTGAACTCATTAAAATGTCACCTAGACTAGCCTCAAACTCATGGCAACCCTCCTGCCTCAGCCTCCCAAGTGGTGGGATTATAGGTGTGCGCCACCATGCCTGGCTAGTAACTTGACTTTTAATAATCATTCTGGCATTTTTATTCCTAAAAAATAAGCAATTTGAAACCAACAGTCTCTAGGCCAAGAAGATATACATTTTGTATCAAATAAGTAAAAAAAAAAAAAAAATCCTAAATTCAAATTTTAAAATGGCAATATAAATTCATGATTTACTTTCTGCATCAAAAAACTGTTTCCTAATCACATTCACTAAAAGGCCTCAGTGTAATGGCTAATCTAGGGCAGTGAGTATCCGTGGGCCAAGACTTCTCAATCCCTTTCACCATAGACAGCAGTGCATGTCTGGGGAACCCGGGAACCCCGTGGAGGGAAGGTCCTGCAGGACTTGGAAACTGAAGGTACAGAACACCTAGGTCAACTAGAAGTTGCTAGAAAGGTAACTCATGTTTCCACAAAGTGATAAAAAGAATCATGCATGTTCCTGTCTTTACCTGATGAAGTATAGCTCAGAAAGAAACCAAATAGGTACTGTGGGAAAGTTCTTCCTTATAGAAGTACAGCCAAAAAAGGGCAGGAAAATAATACAGCAGGTCATTATCATGCAACAGGCTCTGAGGAGGGCTCAGGATGCACTTCCTAAACCCACTGCCCAAAATTAAAATCTCAAAAAGACAAACAACCTGGCCTGGTATGCTCTGGCATGAGGCAAAAAGAGGTCATAGCACTACTAGGTGGAGTGGTGCACACCCTTAATCCCAGCAGTTTGAAGGCTTGAGGCAAGAAGATCACAAATTCAAGCCCAACCCCAGCAATTTAGTGACTTATAGAGAACTTGTCTCAAAGTAAAACGCTATAAAAAAGGGCCAAGGATACAGCTTAGGGTGAAGGTCCTGGGTTCAATTTCAATTACAAAAAAGAAAAAACACAAAAACACCCCCCCACACACACCAAAAAAAAACACAGGTGAACAGCACCACCCAGAAGTATTCCTACTAGAAAAAATTTAAAAAGGTAAACTGTCAATGAGTCTTTGGTTGACCAGTATTGCATGTCTATATCTGTTTTCATGAGAAGCCACTTTGAAGATATCAATATGTAATACAACCACCATTGTTAATTCCCTACCACTTTGTTTGTAACTCTGTATTGTCTGTATTGTGCTTGTGATATGTTGTAAAATGTTGTATGTCTGTTAATGTTTCCCTGCTTTTATCCTTAAAATTAAAAAAAAAAGGTAGTTATCAAGATTCTAATGCATCAATTTTCAGGAAACTTGGGATGGAAAAACACCATGAACAACATGAATTAGGGCCAGGGATGTAGCTCAGTGGTGCAGCACCTGCTCAACAAATGCAAGGTCCTAAATTTAATTCCTGGTACCAAAAAAAAAAGGAAAAAACAGCCCCTTAAGAAAAACAGCATGAATTAGTGTAAATAATCTTACAAGACAGATGCCCAGAGTTCTTCAATGAATAGATAACAAAAAAAAAAAAAAAACAATAAAAATGGAAAAAGGGAAGAGAAATGTGTAGATCAGACTGAAGAGATACATCAACTCAGTGCAAATACAGACCCTGTTTGGACCCTGATTCAGTCACATGATATTGTAAAAAAGTACCCATAGGTTCACTTAAGCACCAATTTACATTTGGCAATACTGAGAAATTGTTCATTGTTTTCAAATGTGACAGCAGTACTGTGGCTAACAAAAAACAAGCAAGTCTTGTCTTTTGAGACATGGATGAAAGTGCCCGCATGTGAAATGCTATACTACCTTGACTTCCCTTAAGAGAGACGGGTAAGTGGAGGTATGGACAGATGTTGTCACTATTTAAATTGGAAGGTGGCAAAGGGAAGTCCTCCATCCTTTCTACCTTCAAACACCTTTCTAAAATTTTCCAGGACAAAAAGCTCACATTTCCTAGATTCCTTAAAGTACTGCAATAAAATATGGTATGGTAACTAACCATTTCAGTGCGAAAAGCCATCTCCCTTTCCAAGGTAGACAGGTGAGAAAAATGACGGTCATTTTCAAAGAGGTGTGTTATATGGCTCCTGGAAAACACAAACAACAAAGCAACAACATTGAAACTTATAGTAAGTATTATTTGCAAAGTAACTCCAAAAGCAAAAATGAAAATATCTATTAATTTGTAGATGATTTTGTAATACTGGTACAACAGTATCTATATTTATTTTCTACTCATTATGTGTTACATTCTTATTAAAATTTCTCTCCATAAGAAAGCATTCAAAAATTTTAAATGAGATTTTAAAATTAAAACAAACCAGAACAATGATATTTTAAGTAAAATACAATAAAAGTATAGCTTAAATTGTAAATGTCAGGGGGTTGCCATTTCAGAAATACCTGATTAAGGAAATTCATGTATCTTCTCCCTATCCAGAAGATTAAAAAAATTAATCTTCCTCTCAATATGAACACTATTAATGCTAACTGAAGTACTTCAAAATACAGCTTTCTTAATAATAGATCTGTTTTTCATTAAAAATTGTATTATTCTAACCCTGATTTATCAATTAAACTACTTTTTTAGACTATTGTGTTACATGTAATACATATCCACACTTACTGTGCTAAAATTATTCCTTTAAATATATGGGAAATAGTTTGGGTAAGTTATAAAGATTTGCATAAAATATACCACTGGAGAAAAGCAATCTTACCAGTGTAATAGGGCCGCAAAGGCAGCTGTAAGAAAAAAGATATTTAAATTACCAATTTAGCATACAGAAATATTTTCAACTTAGAGACACACACTTCAAAGACAAGCTTGCCAAAACTTGGGATGTGGAAATGCTGGACCAACTGGGGAAAGAATACTGACTCTTGAAAGATGCCAGGGGCTAAGCTTAAAATATCAGCAGACCGCATCATCACAGAATCAGGCAGCCATCTGCAATTCCCACTCACTTATCCGCTCACTCATTCAGCAAATACCTGAGGTCATATCATTTGCCAAATACTACAGAGGAACCATTAGACAGAAACCACTGTGAACAGAATCGAGAGAAGAGAATCAACTGTTAAGAAAAACTTAGAACACAGATGGGGCAGCTTGGGAAGACAGGCGAAGTGGACACAGTAATGAGTAGTGGACATAACTAACAAGTGAAGTGCAATTTCTTATAAACTACTTCAAACTTTGAAGCCATATGACACATCTTAACTTCTGCTACTTTTTTTTTTTTTGAGACAGGGTCTCACTATGTAGTGCAGGCTGGCCTTGAACTCAAGTATGTAGCCCAGGCTGGCCTCGAACTCAACAACAATCCTCCTGCCTCAGCCTCCTGAGTGCTGCAATTATAGATGCGCGCTGCCACGCATGGCTTAACTTCCTGTGCTTTTAAACAAAGTACAGGAAGTAAAAGAAAGAAAAAAGGAAGAAAGAAAAGGTAAGAGAGGAAAAAAAGCTAACAATAACATCAATCTCATTTGAAAACCAATAGTTTGCTTTCAGCCCATGTACAAAGAACATATTAAAATAAATCCAGAAAATGCCATTCAATTTTCTTATATCACAAGATACATCTCATTACAAGCTTCTAATTTACAATTCCTAAGGAATCAAACCACAGGAATGTTTTAGAAATGAAAAACAAGTAGCTCAGACCTCACTGCTTTATTTTTAAAGTAGTATTTGCATTTTTGTTTAAAAATTCATTTTGCTTTACAGATTCTGATAGCTACAAAAGGCAGTTATTCGTTCCGAGATTATCAAAGTTGGAAATACTTAAGATAATCTGTCACTTTATAAGCTATATTGTGATTCTCTGAAATTTTATTTCTTTGAAAAAAGCAGATTTACTGACAAGTCTACCACTTACTGCCTTTTTTGTTTCTATCTTTAAAGATTTCTCCCACCATAATAAAACTTGGGCTTTATGACTTTAATAATTCAACTATTACTTTCTGAATAAATCATTCTTTCACTGAATGACTAACTGTAAATGATGTCTTTATCCAACTAAGAACTTGTCACACATACTTCTGCAATCTTTTTGAAATTAGAATTTCATTTATGAATTAATTCAGGAAGAATTTACATGAAACAGGGCTATAGTACCCATAAACATGGTATATACCTTCAATTATTTGAACTGCTTCCTGTCCTTGAGAAAAAGCCCATCAGCATACTTAAAACAGGGTATCACTTATCTACAATACTTGGAACCAGAAGTGTTTCAAGGTGTTTGAATTTCTGCAGATTTTTTAATATCTGCACATATATAATAAGAGTCCTAGAAAGGGGACCCAAGTCTTAACAGGAAATGCATTTAGATTTCACATATATCTCAGACGTACAGCCTGAGGGTGATAATATATAACATCTTCAGTCACCTATTATGGTAGGGCCAGTGTGGAGTTTTTCACTTGTGACAACATTTCAGCACTCAAAATGTTTCAGATTTGGAAGCCCTTGGGTTTTGGATTAGGGATGCTATACAGTCATATATATTTTAAAAAGTGATCTGTTTTAACATTTTTCAAATAATATTCATGAACTCTTTGTTATTTTTATAAACTACTGTACATTACTGTTAATATATATCTTGAAAGATTATTTATTTTGTAATACATTTATATTTGGCTCATATTCTAAAGTATTAACTCAAATAGTTTATCATCAATTCTCCATCTGAAAACATTAGTAAATTATAATTTTGCTTCTGTTTTGTAATTTTACTGTTTCTTCTTCCCATTTGCCAACAATAAGGTTCTAGATACTACACAATTCTAGTCAAAAAGGATATTGTGACTCTTCCTGACTTTAACAGCAATTCATTTCCTGTCAAGCCATAAGTTAGCCCTTGACTTCACAAGTCTGGGGTGTAACTAATATCGGTCAAGAGCATCAGCTTTCTATGTCCTTAAAGTCTCTCAGGAGACAGATGGATGTTGCTGAGTGTCTTTGGTGCTTGTAACTCCTTCAACTGCTCTCCTTCTGCACCAGTATTCTCAACAGAGACTCCCTGGAGTTCCTGGCCTCGGAATAGCACTTTCTCAGTCTCAAGGATCCATTCAGAATGTGCTCAAGTTTTCACTACATCAGCACCCTTCGATGTAGTAATAATGATAACATCTGAATGTTTATTTTATTACATAGCCAGCACTTGGTAAAGGTTATACCTACACCACCTCAATAGGTCTTCATTACTGCCCTGTCTGGTGAAGAGGAGGATTGAGGTAGAGGAGTCACTAGCAGTCGGGTCACTCGGGCAAGGACACAGAGCAGGTGGACTGAGAGAAGAGGCTAACCCCAAGAATTCTGTCCTGACAGCTGCACTTGGGCCCCTGCAGAACCACTTATATGAAGTATAAATATAAAAGTATAAATAATAAAGTAATAATAATAAAGTAATAATATAAATAATAAAGTATAAATAATTTAGAAAGTAAAATAAGAGGTGGATAATAGAAAACAGTGAGAGAGATCATTTACAAATGGGAAGGGGAGCCAGAGACAGAGGGAGACCAGAAAGAGAGGAGGGGAAGGAGAATAAAGAGAAGCAAGATGTGTTAGGTACGTGTACCTACCCCCAAGACAGATGTAATCATTAGATACTGCACCCTTCTGCCAACAAAACAAAGACGTAATGACTATCACATGTACCCAGACATAAGCCTAGTACTAAAATGTATTCAGAAAAAGAAGAGGTGGGTAGAAGGAGGTGCCATAAGGTATCCCAACTCCTACTCTTGTTTTAAACACAAAAGAAAAAATGCAATTCATCCACTGATATAGGCAGTTAAATGAAGAACAAATTTTATTTTAAAAATAGATCTCAGCAACAATGAAATACCAAAAGCTGGTTGTTATAATAGAAAAACAAAAGGTAAGAGGAGTTTGCTTTATTTTATTTCTTAAAATACAGAATTACACTGTAATACACTGCCAACTCTCACTTGTTTTTATTTGGATTATTCCTTTTATGGGTTATCCAAGGATGTTTAAAAATCAGAGTGGCTTCTGCATGATATTTAGACATACATCTGGATTATTTTTATCTTCAAGGACATACCAGGCAGTATAGTCTATAGAGCCCATGAGTACTTACATAAAAGTATGATGATACACTATTAAAAACTGAAGTACGTTATACTTACACATGTCATTTGAAAATGAAATTTCCAGGAAAACACTGTTCTATAACCATGAAATTTAAGAATGAAGTTATAAAGTGAAAAAAACATCTGCAAACATTCCTAGAGCTTTCTTTGCCTTCAGTAAAGAATATTTTAAATTACTTTCTGTAATTTAAAATAGAAATTTATTCTAGTAATTTTCCACCCTTTTGATATTTTGGGCAAGCGTAACAAACAGATAATCCATTTTTCACATTAACACCCATGCCCTGTTTTGGTATTCTAAGGAAATGAAGTTGAGTATTTTTTATTTTAAAAAATCAAAACATTAAAATTTTTTAAAGTGTAAATTTCAAAAAAATTCAAACTCATTCTATAAGAAAAAGGAATTCAAAGGAAGATTTGCTATGTAATGTAATTCCAAGGATCACATTCCTTATGCCTAAGAATTCTGAAACGCTCTTATAATTTTGCTGGAAGCATATAAATTGCCTACATTCTCAACCTGAATTTGACATTCTGGAACTCTGCATTAACTCTTTCTGACTAAAGAAACTGCACAGACTCTGACACACTTTATCAATTTACAGATTTTAGAGAACTTGTCACTGAGTGTTACTCTTCCTCTCTGGTTAGAATCTTGTTTAAAAAAAATCTGAGTTTGAGTAACCCAAACCCTGACTCCCAGAAGAGACAGCGTTCATTGAACTTGACTACAGTTGTTCTCAGTAAACACGTGCAGCCGGGATTCAGAGGTTCGGTGAATTAACGGGCACTGCTTGATACAGTGGGGAAGGGGAGGATGGAGTCATCCATAATAACGTCTACATAACAAACCTAATTGGAATACGCTGTGACACATGCATGTTACACACACACAAACACACAACCACTTACTTCCTGCAATGAGGTACCCTGAGCACAGGCTGTCCCAAGCCTCAACCCTGGGCCCCTCCAGATTGCCTGTGGCTGGTGTACAGAGTTTGGGGTGCAGGAAGCAGCATGCACCACTGACTCCTCATGACAAGGTCTGAACCAGGACCCCAGCCCAGCTGGGGTCCTAGCTTATACACCCTCTGAAGACCTGATTCCAGCTGCAGCTCACGGGCCAGCATGAAGAAAGGCCCAGCAGCACGCCAGGGTGCCCAGTCCACCTAGGTCTGTCACATGTGAAGGCAGGAGACAGGACAGGGGCTTTTTCCCTAAGCCACTCTGCTTGATCCTCAGGCCCTCAGCCCCATCCTTGTTGCCCCAGGACAGTGGACAGCGCACAGCTGAGGTCCCTCCCTGAGGACTACAGGGTGCACATGGGAGCTGTCCTTGTGAAATTTCCCAGCTGAGTCCAATGCTACTCAAGCATGAGGCCCACTGTCCTGTCTCCTTCCCAAAGTGTGAGACAGGAATTGCAAAGCCAGAATGGCCCTGATTCATCTTGTGGGGACCTGCAGGCCACCTGGCCACAGCTACACCCGCCAGGTGAGTTCCTGAGAACAAACGCATCTTCTGGTCATGGTGCTTAGCCTTCACATAGCGCCTCTGAAAACTTCACTTCCACATCCTGTGAGCTTTAATCCCATTTCACAAAAAGCTGCTCTTCCCCAGAG